AAAACATATGTAAAAGGAGTGAAAACTTGTTAGGGTTGCGTCCCCCTCACCAGGGGGTGAGGGAGAACAAAGGTAAGACTCAAGATGCAGACCCAGGTGCTAGTGGAAAGAAGGAGGTTTAATAGAGAACACAAAGTAACAGAGTCAATGTATGGTACAAAAACAGGATAGGGCAGTGATAACTGAGAAAACCAGGAGGAGCAGGTGAGTAGACAAAATAATGGCAGGAACCAGGAGAGTCGGGGGACCAAGATGGACAGGTGAAATAGACAATAACCAGGTGGATTAGCTAATGCTGTTAGGGAAGCAGAGTACCGAACAAAAAAAAAAAAAAACAAGAATTCAACAGCACAGGAACTGTCAGCGTTGAAGTCAAGTTACGTATAGCTAAACATAAGTATACAATGTACTGAAAGATAATCAACCGCACAGGGACTGTCAGCTAGTGATGGCCATCTGACACCGAGGTCTCGATACTTGGTTTGAGCTTGGAGAGGGATCTGCCGCGAACCACTGCCATGAGGCTTGTATCGTTGCCGAAAAGGCACGTGACTGATGACGTCCAATGCAAAAACGGCTGGCCTGAGTGACTCCCGTGACCAGTTCAGACCATCAATACAGTGTCACGATGTAAGATCTCGCTGTGCGCGTCAGCAGGTGCATAGGCATAGAGTAGGGGTACTATAAAGCCACCCAAGATGATGCGCAACATGTGGGTTTGTTGGTGTAGTAGGTGTGTGCGTAGTTGCTGTCGGTATGATCATTGGTGCTGGTGTGTGATCACCATGGAGCCAGCTAGGAATAAAAATGTTTGATTCTCCATCCCTTGTATTTATTTACACCCTGTCCTAGTTACATATACACATATTACATCTTAGCACATCCTCTGATTCCCCAAGCATGCCTTCTCCCACCTACTACACTACATAAGTTCATAAACTGGACTGACTGACCAATCAATCAATCTTTACAAACGTTTTCACATCATTCACACAAAGCCTACTTACACCCATCACATAATTCAGACATTGTTCTGCTGCATACTATTTTGCCACCAGATGGCACTAAATTGAACCTTTGAATGAATGAACCAATACTCCATACAAATGATGAAGTGGTTTGATACAGGTGTCATGTTGTCAATTGGACATCACTACTGTCCGCGTTGAAAATCAAATTGCGTAACGACTGAATACAAGCATTTACATACATTTACATTCATTCACAAGTATTTAATGCTCTGACGAAGCGTCTGCCAGAGGTATCACTTACAAAAACAAATCACCTTTTTTTTTAACCAAACCTGGGTTAATAATAGAATTATAACAGTTGTCCAATTAATGGAGAAGAATGGACATTTACTCTCTTATAAGGATTTTGTACATTTCCAATTCCCTATTAAACCAAAAGAACATGCTATTGTGTTTGATGCTATCTTTAAAGGTGTTTTGGCACTTTTAAGAAATTATGGAGGTTTAGGCCTCAATAAAGATTTAAATGAATTTGTAAATAATATATTTTTTGGTGATATTAACATTGTAAAAGAAAAATGAACTAACAGATTTGTTAGATATAATCTTTAAAAGTGTACCACCACCCTCAATACATTTTGAGTTAAATCTCTTCACTCAAATACACTGGCATAAAAACTGAGTGGTTTGTGATAAGTACTATATTACAAACACGTTCAAAGAAGTTTCTTATAAGATGTATAAGATAGCCCTCCCTGGTAGACTAGTGGTTAAGGTGCAGCGCTCTTGCCACGGTGCCCTGGGTTCAAATGAGGGTTGCGTCAGGAAGGGCATCTGGTGTAAAACATGTGCCAAATGCCAACATGGGAGTCATCAGTGTGACAATTCGCTGTGGTGACCCCTAAAACAGGAAAGCTGAAAGTAGCTTTCTTTCGAGGAAGTTTCTTATAAGATTTATTAAGTGAAAATTATACATGAAAGAGTTAACATTGAGATAAATTATAGGTGTGACTTTTGTGGACTAGAAAAATAAATAATTCTGCAGTAGTTTTTTCAATGTATCTATTGCAGGGTATTTTGGACTGAGTTGGGACTGTTATAAATGTGGATCTGTTCCATGTTCTGTTTTATTTTGAGAAAAATTAGACTGATACAAAAATGTTATTGATTATTCAATTAATTATTTACTTGGACAATATTATATTCACTGTATAAATTATGAGGTGTGTTTCTTTTTATTTAATTAAAATATTATAGCAATATCATATCTGATGGGTGGGGCCCGAACCCGGACCCTTCTCGCTTTGAGGCAACGGTGTTAACCACTGCGCCACCGTGATGAATTATAAATTTAAAAAAGGTCCGTTAACCTCGCTCACACTGGCCCAGCTGAGCGAAGTCTGATGGAACGACATGAATGCGCATGTGCAGTAGGCCGCACAATGCGGAAGCAAACCCGGAAAAAAATGGTGAATGCGCTAGGCAAGGAACTGTCATTGGACAGAACGGACGCCATGTTTCAGTGCGGTATCTAGGAGTTATAATACATCTGTGGTGGAGAGCAACTGTGGCGCCTGGCTCCAAAACTGCCTCGATCCAATGAGAATATCGTTTCGTACGTATGCGTTACAGAGCAAGTCGGGCTCTCCAATCGGACAGAAAAATAAACGGCATGTATTGTTGCTGTGCGCCGATTACTGGTGATCGATTCTGCGCAGATCTGTGTCATCCTGAACCTGCTTAATTTCTCCTTGCATCTTAGTTTTGTAGTTTATGTTGGAGGGACAGATAACCAAGGAAAGGGCATGTGAGGCAAACGCGGATGCAATTCAGAATTGGGATTTACCCACAAAGGTCAAACGGGAGGAAAGATGGCGAGCAACTCTGACGGTTTCAACTTGTAAGTGGGACCGTATCGTAGTGTCATAGAACTTTATTTCAGGTTCATAATGAAGATTGGGGACTTCATATTGACATGGATAACGGTAAACCAGCTAAACGTGTAACGCTACAATTGTATTTACTTGGAGAGCGCGACATCGTGTTACGGCAAACCATGTGCTACATTTGATTCCAGGCGAACTTTTCTTTGTAAATGATCAGTTTTAGGCGAGCTGGATTTGATAGCACGAAATCATTAAAAGGATTCCCATGCCTCCGAATGAAGCTAAGTTGGATTTGAGAATCGGAATGGGCACGGTGTTCTATGAGGTTATTTGAAGTGCTGTTATAATGTTAAATTAGCTCAAACAGCTAACAGGTCTCAAACGCCTTTGGAGCTCTGTGTTATTTGACCCCAGTAGTCTGTGGTTCATCCTTATATTATTTTGTTGTGGTGACGTTATTATGAATGACGTAGGTTCAGTGACCCTGCGAGCTGCTGCTGCTCATGCTATGACTGGGTTTAGAAACGCCTCTTGTTTCTGTCACTCAGGCGCACCACACCAGAGAAGTTTTACGTAGAGGCTTGTGATGATGGCTCCGTGGATGTCTTGGCGATTGACAGGGTGTCAACAGAGATGACTCTTACAGGTGAGTACAGGTTTGCTGTTTGAGCTCCAGTGCACATATTGTGTGACAACACACTGATCAGACGGGAGATCCGGGTCAAAAAAGTACCACTTTAGCTTTTTCCCGATTGTGTGAGAACAAATGTTGATCACATTTAATTTAAGCACACTTGCACATGATCTACCAATAACCACAGACAGCAAGTGTAATCAAGTGTACCACCCTGAAGTAATCTTGCAGAATCAAGATGTGCATTGCTGATAAACTCACACCCAAAAAGAATGAGTGCTGTAATAAAATCAAAAGGTGCTTCAACAAAATATTAGTTTAAGGGTGTGAACAGTAATACAACCACATTATTTTAGTTTTTTATTTTTTTACTTCCCACTGAAAAACAGATTTGTTTGTTTTTCAATTGAGTTGTGCAAGTTATAGGTCATATTAAAGGTGGCTAAAGTTCTGGAATTATTTATCTTGGTCTTGTTTTTTTTACATCACAGAAACCTGGCATTTTAACAGGGGTGTGTAGACTTTTTATATCCACTGTACTCTCATACACTGCAGGCAATCTGTGATAGTTCTAATCTATAATATGAACTAATTTCATTTTTGAAGTATTAATTAAGCGACAAAAGCCAGAGTCTGCATGTTCTCCTTGTATCTGTGGGTTTTTTCTGGATGCTTTGGTTTCCTCCCATCGTTCACTGATCTGTTGAGGCGGTAGGCAAACTGGAGGGGGGTCTACAGTGTCCAGGACCATGTGGTTAATGTGTGCGAGTACCAGATGTGAGTGCCACTGGCCTGAAGTCATTCAGGGTGGATGTGTATGACATCTTAGGGACCAGTATGGATTGGTAATGGATTTTTTTGAAAATGCGAGGGACTACTGCTTGGGTTAAAGACAGGTTGAAGATGTCTGTATACATACTAGCTAGATGATCCCTGCAGGCTTTCAAAACTCTAGGGGACACACCATCTGGTCCTGCAGCCTTATGGGGATTTACCTGTTTCAGGGCCTTCAGGACCTGTGTGTGTGTTTGTGTGTCACCTGAAAAGCAGTGTCCCCGATGTCGCAGGGAGATTTTGAGGGGGTATCTGTGTTCATCCTGTCAAACTTCGCATAGAAGTTATTGAGGCTGTCTGGGAGGGTGATATCTCAGGGGGCTGTATTTGTTGATTTGTCCCTGTAGTTTGTGACTGCCTGGATTCCCTGCCACATGCCACACATGTTGTTATTCATGTAATAGCTCTCCAGTTTTTGGAAGTATGCCCTCTTCCTGGGGCAACTGTGGTTCAGTGGGTAGAGCGGTCATCTCCCAACCGGAGGGTTGGAGGTTCGAATCATGGTGCCAGCAGCATATTGAAGTGTCCTTGGGCAAGACACTGAACCCCCAAGTTCCCCCCCGATGGTTAGAGCCATTGGTGTGAGTTGGCGCCACAGATGGCTGCCTCGGTTCTGTACTGGAAACAAATTCCTTGTGTGTAACATATTCCGCTTGGTCCCCTGACTTGAAAGCTTCTCAGCTCTTCCTGATTTTCTATTTTACGTCCACATTGAACTAGGGTTTTTGGCTGGGGAAAACACGCACAGTTCTAGGTAGGGTGCATATTGATGTGCACCAGCTGATGTAATCACTCACAGTCTGTATATTCATGGATGTCATCTGTGGCCCCCCTTGAAGATGTTCCAGTCTCTGGCCTCCAGACAGTCCTGCAGGCTGGCCTGTGTACAGTCTTTCCAGGTGTTAACAGTTATCACTGAGACTGGTTTTGCCATGAGTCGTTTGGTGTAAACAGGTTTGAGCCAGATTGCTAGGTGGTCAGATCTACCAAAATGAGGCTTAGGTTCAGCTGAGAAAGCATTTCTAATGTTACTGTAACATTGGTCCAGTGTTTTGTTTCCTCTAGTAGGAAAGGTTACAAACTGATACAGTTTAGGCATGCTTTTCCTGAGATTGCAGTGATTTAAAATCCCCCAGAATAATAAAAGCAGCATCAGGATATGTGTTTTCATGCTCATTGACCATGTTGTGCAGCTCTTTGAGTGCAGCCTCCTCTCTGGCTGAGGGAGGGACATACACTACACTCGCAATGATACATTGCAGTTCTGTGTGCAGATAAAATGGCCTTAGCTTTAGTGTTAAATATTCCACATCTTCAGAACAAAATTTGGAGACGATCTTACAGTCGGTGTACTGGGACTGTTTGATGAAGCGGCTGTGCCTCCGCCCCGGATCTTACCACTTTCTGTGGCACTTCAGTCCTGTCTGAACACAGATTAGCCATCCAGAGTTATTGCCTTGTCGGGTGTTTGTTGCTGTGGTTTCACAAAACACAGCAGGGAGCAGTCCTGTATGTCATTCTGCATGGAAATCCTAGCATAGAGTTAATCTATTTATTATCCAGAGACTGGACATTTGCGAACAGTATAACAGGGAGGGTTAGCCTACCCCTCCTAACCAAGCACTGGAGCCTCCGCTTGACTTTCCCCTTTTTGCCACATCTTCGCTTTGGCTTGCTGCTGTCTGGAGAGCTCCCTGCCGGGGGTCGGCCTGGCATTGTGTCAACATAGCACGTTAGTGCTGGGTGAGAGTCCAACATGCTCAGGTCGAAATCGCCAAAGAGACTGCGCTCTCTTAGCTGTAGTAAAGTCACCCGGTCATAAATAGCGTTTGCAGTCTTAACTGTTGCCTTAACATGGCACAAATAAGCAAGAAAGAGACAAAAGAGTAACAACTTGACTCGGAAGGAACTGCGACGTCGCACACGGGATCACCATCTTGCTTTTCATATGTTTTCATGAAATTTCATATGTTTTTGACTGTTCACCTCATGCTCCTCCCCTTTCATTGTCAATCACCGCCGTTGTGCTACTTAACAGCAGCCATTCCACCTCACAATTATACATAAGTCCTGGACCTGTAATTATTCAAAAATAATTTTGATATCTTTTATTGTTGCTTAATTGGATTAATTTTAGTTTTAAGTCTTTCTGGTTCAAACAGTGTAAGAATCACAGGTCTATGATCTGTACTTTGGGAGGAAAATTAACTGCTCCGTCTTTTGGCCCAGTGTCGGTCACACAGACACACACATTCTCACTCACATCTCTCTCGCTCACTTTGTGTGTTTCTGTCATTTGTGCTCTATAACCTTTCTGCATTATGTTGAATTATGTCCTGATTCAGCCAAATCCCAGACCTTTCTCCATTTCATTGTCTTTTGTCACCACATATGAACAAACATCTGACCAACAGTTCTGCAACAATAACGCGCAGCTGGGTAAACCAACAATGTAAAATTATGCAATAAGTGTGATTTTTATGTGGTTTATAGTTTTTTGTTTTTGACACTGACACATTTTTCTCTACACCTGAGGTTTGCACCCAATTTCATTGTACTGTGTACAATGACAATAAAGATTCTATTCTATGTTACAAAATTTTAGCATTGAGGTGCAATTACATTCATGTTTTTGCATAGGCTGCTAGCCTAAAAATTTCATACTAGCAATCATGAGACAGTTTCACAGAGATACCCATAACCATACTAAGTCACTCCTGCCTGTGCAGGGCATGGGAAAATATGAGAGACACTGTGTGCAGTCTACATGCTCAGTGTCCTAATTTCACACTGCCACATCCATTATAAAGTCGGTTTTCTCTGTGTTTGAAAATGGACATGTAGCCTGAGGGTTGGCAGTGCTGCTGTAAATACAACAAGAAGCTGTCATCAGAGTTGGTGGGCACCAGTTTTTGGGAGCTGTTAATACATACTGACACACAGAGCACCTGTTGGCTTGCTACTGAAACTTGCTTACTGACTAACGTTAGCTGAATTGTCTTGGAATATAACATTATTCCCATAATATACCCATGGCATGCTCATTTTGCTTGTTTCCAGCCATTTAATGTTTAATCTAGGGTACATCTAGATTATCTTTGCACCCTTCATAACTCCAAATAGTCTGATTATTTCAGAACAACATGTACTGCAGACCTAGAGACTCTTGTTATCAACTGCAAACCCTTTTACTCTCCCCGTGAATTCAATAGTTTCATGCTAATGGGAGTGTACATAACACTGCAGGCTAACGCTAACGTGCTGTTTTCTTGATATAATTTGGTACACGATATGGCATGTACGATTCGATTCAATCACAATACAATTAGAAGTTCAGTGACAGCAATATGAGTAGCTGTGGGACACTTGTACCTTATTCCTCTGTTGTTCCCCTTTTCTAGCACTGGTTCGATTATGTAAATTATGTAAAGAACAACCAGACATACTGCCTTATATTCTGATATATATACAAGAAATATGAAGTCGATGATGTGTGGAAGCCACACAACATAGATCGCTTTACAAAATGATACATATTGTGATGCTTTTGTGTCATGATATATTGAATTTCAATATATTGTTCCTTCTCCACTGTTTTCTAATAAAGGAGCAGCTTCAGTACAAAAGAACAAAGTTAATGCATGTTTGTGCACAGACCTGGACGAACTCACTGACACTGTGACATCTTATATCAGCTTTTGTGAGGATGTGTGTGTGTGCCCAAAAAGACCTTCTGCACATACAACAACAACAAGCCCTGGTTTACAGCCAGACTCAAGCAGCTTCGTCATGCCAAATAGGAGGCTTACAGAAGTGGGGACAGGACTCTGTACAGCCAGGCAAGGAACACACTGACAAGGGAGATCAGAGCAGCAAAGAGGAGCTACTCGGAAAAGCTGAAAGCTCAGGTTTCAGCCAACGACCCCTCGTCTGTGTGGGGGAGCCCGAAAGCCATCACTGGCTAAAGAAAACCATCCACCCTGCTGTAGAGGACCGTCATCTAGCAGACAACCTGAATGTGTTCTACTGCAGGTTTGACAATCAATACTCACCC